ATCAAAAGTAAAATTGTTCATTTAAAATTCAATAATCATATAAGTTCACTTCGAACAATTCACAGATTTAAAAGTTTTCATGATGCACTGTTAATTTTACTACTGTTAACACGTACCGTACATTATTTAAAACTGAAAACTATTCCACTCCACATAGGCCTATATTACTGCTAGTTTAATGAACGCCGTTTGTGTGAACACTTTGGAATTTTAATCCGTGGACTAGCTTACGCCTGGCGTAAGCCACGCCAGTCTTACGCCGTGTGTGTGAACACAGCCTTTGTGTGTGAACTAGGCAGTGGCGTTGTTAAAGCCACTCACTACGCCACGTCCTTGGCGTTATTAACGCTACCTGCAGAGCCCAGATTAGCTACGCCACTGAGCTAACGCCAGTGATGCTTGAATGATTTGACCTCATTTCAAGAGATTGACCAATCATGATTGCAATATATTAGCTACTTTGGTCTCTTTTCTGTGCTCTCTGTAAATGAAATGGTGAAGGGGTTCCTTTTCTATTGCATTTTACTTAGTTATAATGTATATGATTTATTGATTGTGTTTTGTAAGATATTTTAACCATTTAGACTGTCTATTAAAACATGCAACATCAACAATGCTAGCTGAAAAATCAAAAGTAAAATTGTTCATTTAAAATACAATAATCATATAAGTTCACTTCGAACAATTCACAGATTTAAAAGTTTTCATGATGCACTGTTAATTTTACTACTGTTAACACGTAAATTATTTAAAACTGAAAACTATTCCACATAGGCCTATATTACTGCTAGTTTAACGAACGCCGCACAGTGGGCCAGATTGAAGTCAAAGCGTGCCAAAATTAATTACTCATTACAGAAGCTAATCTGAGCCAATACAAGACTTATCTAGAGGTTTTCATACCCGTAGAATTCAATAAAAGCATTTTTAAATCTATGTGACGTCATTTTTGTACTGTTTTCTGATTGGACGATGTCAGTTTTCATTGTGATACCAGAGAACAGTGAAATTACAAATTAATTTTGAAACGTTTAAGGAGGTTTGGGACAAAAGAAATTCTGTGGAAGACTTTTTGTATTTTCCATGACGTCATCAAAATACATTTTTCTGATTGGACGGGGTCAAAAGTGGCATAGGCCAACATTAAAATTTCTATTGTTAATCTTACAGTGAATATAAATCAAAATCAAAATTCATAATAATTCCAGACAACCTAATTTTACATTTTTTAAATGTAAAATGTGTTTGCATCAGAGATTCTATGGAATTATCAGACATTGCCTACACCAATGTCATGATAATGATAATCATATATTGTGATATAATTCCGTCCCCAATCGTATTAGGCCTATATTGTAAAAGTATCGATAATGGTCGTTTTATGTTTTTTTTTTATAATTCTCAGTGCAGTATGAATAAGGAGGCTTTGAAGAGGAACTTTTGCTGTCCTCTTTGACAGGTATACTGTACCACCAGGATAGCAATGCTTTTTTGCTACTCTTTATTTTGGTGTAAGGAGGAGTCTCATTTTACTATGGAGCTACAAAGATGGACAATGTTTCATCTGTCGTGAACGATTCCGGTTTGCGCCTCAGGGGTGACGCCAGCAGGGGTATGGGGCAGGGTCCCCGTCGAAGAAAGGTCCCCGTCGAGGAAAGCTTCCCCCTCCCCCACCCCGGCGTTGGGGAGATAAACTACAATTCGTCAGGGAGAAATAAAATGTGTATATATTTTCTACATATTAGTAGACTCTAAAATCGATTCTTCTTGAATGCTTCTTGCAATGCTGCATAAAGAAGTTCAGTGCGTACATTTTATGTCAACATCTCTTGTACTTTAGCCTTGTGCGAACTCCCCCCTACTTCGATAGGACGTCCCGGTTTGGGTCTCTTGTGGGTTTTCTGCTGGTGTGGAAAGAATATCTCTGTTCTGTGTCAAAACATTAATAACTTCATCAAAAAATGGAATCCTGTTGTCAAGCCACGAGTTATTTTCTTTAGAAACCCGGAAAACACGTGTTTACGTTCTTATAACGTTCTTAGCGAATGTTGTGGTTAGGTATGTCACAAAATAACGTTTACACAACGTTGTAGGAACGGGAAAACGTTGTGAAATTATGTTCAGTATGTATTTATGGTTCTACAAAATAAAGTTTTCAAAACAAAACTGTAACGTTATTGTCACGTTAGCATAACGTATTATTGTTTGCTGGGAAGGTCGTTAGTACTCGCGTAGTAGCTCACCTCTCCTTAAGTTGAAAAAGGAAGCTTTTCAAAGTCTTGGATGTGTTTGAATAAAGTTAAAAACAATTGACGCCTAGATATAGGCCTGCTTGTAGATATCATCTTCATTATGATATATGATATTTGGATTATTAGACTGCTCAAAATTTAATAAAATATTCTAAACAGCAACAAAATATTAGAAGATTTGCTACTGTTAAATCACGAGCAGTTTGTCAATTTTTTAAGTGCTTTTCCCACGCTTTGCATGAACTGGTTGAATAGACGCGCGTACATCCCCTGATTTGCGGTTTGCTCTAATTAAATTGTCTCAAATGTTCGAAAACAAGACTGATAAAAGTGCGTCTAGCTCGCAAAGTTGCAAAAAGTAGCAGCTAAATTTGGTACCATCATAAAGCTAAGGCTATACTGAAGATGGTGATGTAAAAATTAAAGCATGAATCCACATGAATCTAAACTTTTTATCCTACTTTTCTAAAAATAGATTTTTAAATATTTTTTCTGTCGTTTAAACAACGATTTATTATTGATGCCAACTTCAAATTTAAACCAAAACATATATTTGTGTTTCCCAATTTATATACAAGAAACCTGTGCATTTTGAAGTAATTCCGAATTTTCTGTAAGAAAAAAAACGTGTTTAGATATAATGTAGTCAATTATAGCATTTGAAATATTTATAGAGAAATTTCCGATGAAAAATACTACCCTTAAAATTCGTTTAAATGTAAAATATTTTCAGGATAGATTCACCAGGGTATACCCATCTTCAATCATGTGAAAAAAAGTGTAAAAGCCATAGTCACCAAAATGGACTTTTGGCACAATTTGATTTCGCCCTGGCCCACTGTGCGCCGTTTGTGTGAACACTTTGGAATTTTAATCCGTGGATTAGCTTACGCCTGGCGTAAGCCACGCCAGTCTTACGCCGTGTGTGTGAACATAGCCTACTTTTCGTATCAATTTTCATGGCGACTGTAGCTGTTATTTATATTTACCTGATTTAGGATAGGTGCAAAGCCAGATATCATCATCCCTGACCTCGAAGTTCCTCACCTCTCCTTCTAATATTTCCTTTTTAACGATTCTTGGTAATTCTGTGTCTCCATAGTTCCAGGTTCCAATGTGTTCCAGTTTATCCATAATTTGTGTTCTTGTGTGGCCCAGGCTTGTCTGTAAATAGGCTCGGAACTTGGACCTTCCAAATTCTTCTGGATGTTATTGTGCAGGCCTATGCCAGTGTGTGTTTGAGTGACATAGTCCTTTACCCTATATCTTATTATTGACTTTAGTTGTTTAACAAAGAGATAGACTTACGCGTTTGAAGTGTTTAGTGAATTGTGTGTACGATAATTTTTTTTCATGTCACTGATTGTGACATTGTCCTTTACCCTATATCTTATTATTGACTTTTGTTAACAAAGAGATAGCTTTACACGTTATTGTCGTACTGATGATGATATTTCGAAGCTTTTTAAACATATTTGCCCGAATTAAAACAGCATAAGTTATTTTAGCTCAAATCCCCTATCCCCTATACAATATCGCTTGAGTGGCGTATGAGTGCAAGGGTGAACTTTCTCCAAAGCCCCCCCCCCACCAAAAAAAAAACCAAAAAAAAACCAAAAAAAAAAAAACGCTTGCGTCCAC